TAAATGTTTCATTACCCGGCTAGGTAATATCTTCAGTGCTAAAATGGGATAGGGTTTGCTCTCTATTTATGTGCTGTGGCCTGCCTTGCCAGTGCTGGGGGGGGTTGTTTTGCTCCTCTGGTAGTTCTTTGATTGATCAAGCAGCAAACATATGCCAATCAAAGAACTATCAGAGGAGCAAAACAAAACCCCCACCAGCACTGGCAAGGCAGGCCACAGCACATAAATAGAGAGCAAACCCCATCCCATTTTAGCACTGAAGATGTTATCTAGCCAGGTAATGAAACCTTTGCAAGAAAAGAACCAAGCTCAGAGAACCCCAAGGACTCCACATTTATTTATATACTGTATATTCTGGTTACACAACTACTGTCAAATTAATGATAGTGGAAGTATTTAGCTGCAATTCTCTCTCTTCTCTCTTAACTATCAGGGCCAGAAAGAATGTATCCTGCATATCCTGTAGGGAGCCACACTTACATATAATTAATTTCTTCAATACACATAACTCAGTGTGTCTTTAGCCTGAATATGCTAGATGCATGATCTGTATCAGAGATCAGTAAAATCCTAGTACCTGTGTAAAATTTAAATGTGAATGCAGAGAGCCTGGAACCATGTTTTCCCAAACACATGACAGATATAATTGTGTTCTCCATTTTCTCATACAAAGATGTAATAAAGAAATTCTTGCATCAGTGCTTTAATCTGTTCAATGAGGAGTCTGACAGATACATTATATATTTTTCCCAGACATTTAGTTTCCTAACACGTGTTTGAAAACAATCATAAAGAAGCTTTCCCTTACCATAAGGGTTTTTATTGTTTTCAGAGTCTGCCAGCTCCTTGTCCCAGTCCTCTTCTTCATACAGGGAGACTGGTTTCATCTCAGGAAAAACAGTAAGGGTAGGCATACTGCAATCTTCGCCAATTAATTCCCAGTCTTCATTTTCTGACGGGAAGTCTTCAAAATCATCAGAGTCCTCAGGAGTACTTATTTTTGCCACCACACTTTCTGTTAGCCCAACAAAGAATGAAGCCACTATTTAAAATTTAGAAAAAAATTAGGCAATCATAAGGGTGATCTCATATACTAGGGGGCCCAGGAGTCAAGTACAATGACTGTTATGCTGACTTCATGCAATTTATTTAATATGGCAGTTGCATTTAAAATTGGGTTTTGTCCAGGCAACTACCTCCCTTTATTACCCCTTTTGGATGTGAGCCGTTGCCCATTTCACCTAGTCAACACCAGGAGAAATGAGGGCAGCTGTGGAGCCAGAATTAGCCACATGGACTGTAAAGCAGGCACAGGGAGTACAATTTGCATTACCCTCAGATGAGCTCTACCAGTTTCAGGAACACCTACTAACAATTTCAAACCCAGCAGAGGCCCAAGTCATATATAAACATCGTAGAGGCACCATTCAGCCACTATTAATACTAATGCAACATGCTAGGAGAAGACTTGCCTGCCCCACTCAGAAACCCTGGTTTGATCAAAACTGTGTATATGGTAGGGCAGGTTTAACAACAGCTTTTAAAATTTACAGATTGAACAATTGCTCACATGCTATTAACCAGTTAATTGCTCGGAAAAAGCTTTAGAAAAAAAAATAATCAAAAGGGAAAACAACAAGCCTTTGCCTAAACCAATGTGACTTTTTCAGGCTGTGAAAAAGAAATACTTCCCTATTTTGGAAGCTAATTAGTTGCTTATCATGAGGGGAATCAGTATTTGAAGGCTAGGATTTCAGATGCTAGATGGGAAGAGTTCTGCAGTACATTATATGGCTTTTCCCCTTCTGGATGCCACATAGCATTCCCTCACCCTCACCCCAACTTCTGGTTTCTCATTCAGAGATTCTCAAACAAATTGACCAACTGAAAAGCGGGAAAGCCCCCAGCAGTGATCTAATACCACCTAAGCTGCTAAGGGGAAATGCTGATTCAAAGGTCCCTGTCTTGGCCTCCCTTTTTAACTCACATCAATGAAACACTTCAAACGTGATGACTGCAGTTGTTCTATAACCATCCTCATTTCTCAAAATGGCAAAAGTGCAAATTCCTCATCACAGTTAGCCTGCAAAGTGTGTCTAAAAAACTATATGCCCACTTCCTTATTATAAGTTATTGGATTGGGTGGATCGAGGTAAATTTCTAGCAGGATTGAAGAAAAGGTATATCCACAGTGGACCTGTGTGCCAATTTACAATTTCTAATAGAAAAGTATAAATGTGGGCAAAACTGCCCTTTATACATAGTCTTTATTTAAAATCAGCCTTCAGTTTTATTTCAAGGGATAGACTCTGGTGGAAAATGTCCCTCCCATCCATTGACCAGTGGCCACTCTCTCTAATAAGGATGTAGTATGAAAATACAGTCACCAAGTCAGATGGGATAGAGCTGGCCAACTTAGTGCAGATGTTCCAATTCACTGAGGCATGAAATAGGGTTGTATTCTAGCTCCCCCGTTGTTCAATATTTATGTGGCCCTCAGTGGTAGCTGCTCCAACCATCCTAAATTCCACCATCCTAAACTCAGTGACAGACAATTGGTAATGCCGCTCTATGCCAATGATCCGCCTATTCTTTTGCTTACCCAGGTGGGCCTTAAGAGAAGCTTGTGGGCTTTATCAGAATACTGTAAAGAGGGAGGTCTTATAAGCAACCATTCCAAAACCAAGATTATAATCTTCCCAAGAAAATCTGGTCCCTACAGATATCTATGGCAAATAGGAAATAATAAAATTGAACAAGTTCCAGATTTTAAAAACCTTGGCATAATTTTTCAAGCTTCCAGAACAATTTGAAGGGAACAAATTAGATCCATTGCTGCCAAAGCTAACAACAGTGCCAAGGCAATTCTGGGCTTTTTCCACTCTAAAGAGAGTAGATGCATAATTGCTGCCATCAAGTTTTTTAAAGCTAAAACTGTATCTCAAATGTTGTCTAGTGCACAGATACATGCTTACAATGATCAAAAACCTTTAAATACTATTTAATCTACTGACGATTTCTGGATTAATTTACTAATTAATAAGGGCAGAATATGGAGAGAAGGGAACCATGTTATATAATTTTGAAGGGGAGAAAGAGTTTTAAATATGTTTATAACCGCTGTGAAGAACACTGAAAGTTGCTTCCTTAACTGTTTTTTCTATTTTTTTCTCTTTATTGCTTTAGCACTTTTTTATTTATCTTTTCTAACTCTTCCTTTATATTGTTTTGTGTTTATTTTTTTAACTTTGTAAAAAATTATTCAATAAAACTTATAAATAAAAGTAAATATTTAATCTAGGTTTTTACAAGCACTCTTCTACATCCCATGATGCATTTCAAATGCCTTAATTCACATGGAAACCAGAAGACTAGAGACTAGAGTCCACTTTTGCTGACTCTTACTGGTTTCAACTTCTGTTCTTCAATGATTTACTGGCCCCGTTTACTTTCAAGGTGGAAAGTAAAATCCTCAATGACCTGTATTATACTATCTTCTCTCTCTCTCTCATTCTCTCTCTTTTGCTGCCCTTAGGTTTAGAGAGATCTTTAGAGTTTCTGGCACTGAATGGCAGATGGACTTGGGTGCAAGAGCCAGTTCTCAGTGGTGGGTTCCAATCTGAAAACCCTGCAAAGTACTTGTTCAAACTTGTTTGCCCAGCAACTGCAGATACTTTTATTTAGCTCATTTCAATGCTTTATCTTCTGCAGTGATAGATGGGAGGTACAATAACATTCCAATCACTAAGAGATGCTGCCCTTGTAGTCACATTGAACTAGAAACCCTAACTCATGTATTTCTGTTGTCCCTTTTACAGTAATATACTTGCTTATATCTTTTCCTTCTCCTGACAAACCCCAAGTCTGTAATGAGAGACATGTTTTTCCTACTGTCCAATTGGAACCCAGTACCATCATTAATAGAGTTGCTAAGTTTTTATCTGTAGTGATTTCCATAAGAAGGCATAAAATGTCCTAATCTTGGAGTGAGGATATTTTGAAGGGGGTTTTTTTTCCTATTCTATTTTTATTTTTTATATTCTACTCTATTTCAGTTTATCTTATTTAAGGGTTTTTTTTAATTCCAACTTTTTAAGTCTCTTATGACTAGTTTACTGCTTCTGTTTTATATGGTTGCTGCCTCTTGCTAGTAACTGGCCATAATTAAATAAAGAATAAACATTTAGAAAATCTAACAGTAAAAGGAACTAGTAAGCTTAGGTAACTTGGTAAATCAAGCCCTGTTGATTTACTGAATTTAGGCTCAGTGAATTAAACCATAATAATGATAGGTTGCCATTCACATGGAAGCCTAGATATGTGCAGAAAGGCTGCCAGCAGCAGTCAGTCACACTGTTCTCATGCAGACCAACTTCTACCAACTTCTTCAGTGACTTCTCCAGCATTAACTTAGAGAAGGGACTGCTTACTACTCCTCATGTGTTGCACAGCACAACAACTGAACAAGGCCTATGATTTAGTCCAACAGGCAAATCCACTCATGTGGCGTATGTATTCTACAACTGAGCTACTACTCCCTCTTCTAGAAATGCAGCCACTTTTCTCTAAGTACCTTTTCCAGGGCTCCAAATGAATGACTTTGCCCTCTTCACTTCAACTCCCTCCTGTCCAATAACGGTGGATCCATTAACTTTCATCTGCAAGACAGAAATGCTTATTTTTAAAAAAAATTAAATGACTCGTATCTCCTAGTGTCTTCATGTCAATCCTCCTGAAATTGAGGGATAACAAATATTACTCTTGAAATCTGGACATCTTTCTTTTTGTGAAAGGTTGGCTTTACGTTCCTATTATTAAAATGTGGATTTGTAAATTTATTTTTAATATTAACTTCATAGTAAGGATATTAAACTTTAAGTTGTTAGTTAACAATGACTTCCAATATCTTCTTGGAAAATAAACCTTCTGAACCTCATAAAAACAATGTCCATACTAGTCATAAAGAAGCAGTGTTTTTTGCCATAAGAACAGTGTAATATTCCCTTCCCTCAGTTCAGAATTGCAAATAATGCAGAGCCATACAGATGAACTCTGAATCAGAAATTCTGCTTCTAATGTAAGGTGTTACTAAGTTCATCTAAACTTAGAAAAAAAGGAAAACCTCTACCCAGATAGTTTGAACCTGACCAAGTGACAACGCTGACTCATTTTTTAAGATCAGGAACTGATCTTAAAAACACTAAGAGAGAAATCCATGATTAAGTGTACAAAAAAATTTGAAGGAATAAAAAGTCCAGAGAAAGTAGATGATTTCTCAAGTAATCTCCAGATCAGACACAGGTAACCTTTTGGGACTGCCTGGCACCTTTTAGAATTTTAAAAATGTATTGTGTCCACTTACAAAATGGCTGTCATAGATGGATTTGCCTCTTCACAAAATGGCTGTCCCATGCATGTAGGTAGTCACAAAACCTGTATCTATCAGAAGAGAAACTGGTGAGATTTATCTCTATCATCCATACTACAGCCACAGGATGCTCTCTATGAATCCAGAGTAATTTTGTCTTTTTTTCTGGGCAGGAGAGCACTGAGCTACACCACATTGGCTTTCTAAAAGTATTTATGGAGCCTAGACACTGCCTACAAGCATTCTTGTAAACAAATCTGATCTGGAAGCTAAGGCTTTACTTTGCCATGTGTGTACTTCCTATGTATTTATTTAAAGTAAAAAATTAAAAATAAAGTTAAGTAGAAAAGAGAGCATGGCCAAAGGAGGCACCATGTCCTACTGCTCCCCAAAATACCAATGCCTAGATAAAGAAACCAGGTCTGTCTAATTCAATACTGTCTCTACTTGTTGGCTATAGCTCTCCAAGATCCCATCTCCTAAAACCTTTTAATGGGCTAAGAATCAGGTTAGGACCAGACTTATCTGTGAAAGTATGCAGTCACATTGGAGAGTTCATAACCATCACAATATAAAGTATTAAAAACAGAAGCCATACATTTAAAAGAAAGAATTAAAACTTTTTTTAAAAAAAAATATAAGACGGCTAACCTGTAGAGCATAAAGAATATAATTTAATTAAATTGCAGCCAAACTAACAGACAGTGCATTTCTACTCAGGGATAAAAACATTTTAATTATATAGCATGTTCAAATAATTTCTGAGGGATGGCAGTTTGATTTTCACTGGATTGCTCCCACTACCATCTAGAATTCAAAAATTGACAGTAATAATCCCTGATGTCCATCTGGTTTCTTTAAAAAAGAAAAAAAACACTGACAATTCTCAGGAAAGGTTCTTTTCCTAGCAATTTTCAAAGGAATTATTTCCTTGTAAACATATTTAACATTCCACAGTATATAATTTCAGTGGGCTGCATTTTCATATCTCCTTTTATGGGTGTCAATGGGAGGGGGGGAATGGTGACATATTCATGACGACATCACACAATGCCATGACTTATGTAACTGTCAGACTTTGTGATTCAACTACATTATATTCTACCACAGCATTGTCACGATGACATTATTGCAGTTTGTTACAGACACCACTGCCCCTGCAGTCACATACTCCAACCTAGTGCCCTTTATAAGTCTTCTGAGTTTTCAGCAATTCTTAAAACTGCTTATCTAAGCAGATTAGAGGAGGATGTCCTATTTCTTAAAGGAGTAATAAATGCCAGCAGAAAGCTTGCAGTCTAGGAGAAAGCTGGTTAATTCAAATCAAACTACTATATAAAATACAGCATGCATATTCCTTGATTCTTAGGCCTTGCTGCCCTTATTGTTACCAATTAATTATGCTATAACAATTGAAGTCACAATTAGCAGAATTGTCTGTAAATCTAGACTTAAAACTCAGAATCCTTCAAATCTGTAACATCTAGTTGTTCTATGTGAGATTTAACTCCTTTTCTTTCTCCTTAGCACCTCTTTTCTTCACCATCATCTGTTATTTCTTGGGATCCATGGTCTTACTCTACCCTATTACTTTAATTTCTTACCTTCCCTTGCATATATCCTTAAGCATTGTATTATTTCTTTAGAACCCCTTAGTTCATTAAATGAAATTGCTATTTAAATTTGTCTCCTCTTCTATTCCAAAATCTTTCTCCCTCAGAATACCATTTCCAAGCCTTCTTCCACTTACCCAGCTTCTTGGTTTCTATCTTTATCTACTTCTTATCACCTCTGCCCAGTCCTTTCCATAAGTCTAATTCTGTTGCTAGGGCCCATGAGAGGTTTAATTACACACTAAAAGAATTTTCTTTTTTTGAAAGCTGGGTTGCAAGTATTCTGACAATAGTGCCCTCCCAAGAATTTCAAATCTCATGCATACTGCCTACCATTAATGTTCCTCAGCCAATCTGCATCTGATGCTTCATCACACAAGGACTACAGATCTCTTTGCATTACAGAAAAATTTGATGCATGTCAGCTTATCTAAATGCACCAAATAAACGCCAAAACTGTTTAAATACAGATCAAATTGTAGTTAGAGGCAGTGCTAAATAGGTCACAAGGAAGCCTATCAGTGTGTGTGTTTTATAAGTCAGAATTTTAAATTAACAGTAAAGAGACAGGGATCTTTTCAACTAATTGGAATGCATGAGACAATTTCCACTAAAATGGCACACTGGGGCAGAAATGGCTAAACATACCCTCCTGGTACTACTTGCTAATAATTAAAACTAATTGCTTGGGCTTCTTAACTTCATAGGCAGTTCCATGTGTTACTATACCCTTATGATCAAGAAAAAATGACAAAGGGTTTGAATATATCTATAAAGAAACTGAAAAAAACCAAAGTATGAAGGCAAGCCACCCTTAAACTCCAAAAGAATGTATCTGATGCAAAGGCCAGTTGATCTGCATGGCCATATGATTAGAACATGATTCTATACAGCATATGGATCATTCCCTTAGATATTTCTTCAATCGTGTCTTGCCACTGTTTGGAAAATAGGATTATGTGATCCCTTAATGCACATTTTTCAACCTGGTGCCTTCCTGGTGTGCCTGACACTGATACAGTCTGGAGATACTAGGAGTTGTACTCCAATTTATGTGGGGAGTACCAGGTTGCGGAAGGCTTTCTTAAAGCTTTCCCTTCAGAGCTACTTTTTTCTATTTCAGATGCATGGCTGCCTAATCTTATTCAATCAAGTTCACTCAGAAGTTCCATTGCACTTAAAAGAACCTACTCCCAAGTAAGTGTAGTAAAACTGCATCACTATTTGGAAGCTAAACTTGCAGAAAGTAGCAAATTGCACTTCCTAATAACATTAGCGGGCTTCAAATTTAATGAACTCCACTGTGAAGGTAGCGTTAAAACGGTCGCTTGCCTCCCAGTAACAAAATAATTTCAAACCTTCTGCTTCCTTACTTAGCAAGAAGCTGGAGCGGGAATATATAAAGTATTCCATAGTTTTACAACGGCCTGCCTGCTTCGTTTTTCACCTCATCCGTGTCACCAAAACAAGAGTTATCTCGGAAGCAAACAGCTTCACAGTAAAAGGCGCATATAAACGGTCTCTCCGTTTTCCGTCGGAGAACAAGCATTTAACTGAACCTAAAACGTGTTTCCTACCCCAGGAAGCAAAGCCTTTCCTTCCAAGGGCACCTAAATGTTCCCTCGCGCCTCCACCTCCGCTGATCGGCTGCAATCCCAAAGCCCCTCGCCGCGTTCCCTGGTCCTCGCGCCTAGAACTTAACTCCGGCGCCTGGACTCCCGCCTCACCCTGCAGGTTAGGCTACGCCTCGGGGGAGCATCCTGTCCAGACGTCTCCATGCCTGGGCGAGGGGGCTGTCCCGACTCCTGCCCCTGTCAGAGCCGGCCCCACGCAAGTACATCCCTTCCCACAAGAAAAGCCTGCAAAGGCGCGGCTCACGCGGCCAGCCGAAGCATTGCAATAGGCAGCCACCCAATCTGCGGCCCCATCGACCTAACACAAGATTTGACAACTTGGCGCACGCCTGCTGAGGCTTCCCAGGAGCTCGCCTGAGGTTAGCGCCGGAGGGACAACCAGGACTCCTCCGACGGTGCATAGGAGCCCTGGGCTCATGCGCTCTGCATTAGTTCCCAATGAATTCAATGGTCTTACTCCCAAGTCGGTGTGCTCAGAATTGCAGAGGGCCAACCCAGTTTTCTAAACGTTAAATCGCGGCGCACATGCCGCATCGCGTGTTTTGCGAGGACAGGCAAGGCCAACGCGGAGATCAGCAAGCCTCCCTCAACCTGAGCTGCTAGTCTTACTACGTTAGTCAGCCGGGGCGCCTAATATTTTTGGAAGGCAGAGTCAGTACCTGGAAGGGTACCAATCTGGGGAACAGCTGACAGTATTTCTCAACCTTGGCAACTTTAAGATATGTGGATTTTAACTCCCAGAATTCCCCAGTCAGCACATCTTAAAATTACAAGCTTGAAAAATCTTGGTCTGTAGGATGGGGGGATCCAAAAACAGACACAGCCCCTGTCCTTTTAATAGTTGAGAGGATTTCAGCAGGGAAAGCTTGCAGGAAAATATGTCCATTGAAATCCCCTCTTCTAAACAACGAATACAGATGAAGGAATCTGGATGGCCTCTTTGGGGAAAGTTTGAAAGTAGGCAGTGATTTTAAAAAGAAGCGGGTTGTGCCTCTTAAGATTGCTAATATTGGAAAGGTATGCAAATAGGGGTCGAGGGAAGC